GGTGGGGGAAGCGGTGGAGCCATCCGGAGAGCCATCGTGCGAAGCTGGGTGATGATGGAGGTGATGGCGTCTCTCTCCCTGGGGCGGCTAAGCGGCCGCCAAAGCTGCAAGTAACCAGACCATTTGAACAAAGCGTCAGTAGCACGACGAAGAGGGATGCGCTGAATCACAAGTTTATTCCTAACAGTTCACAGCGTCCAGGCTAGCACCCCAATGGCCAGCCACCTAATGTGGCGCACTGCGGGTGGTATTGCCTGGAGTTCGGCGAAGAGAGCGGGGAAGTTGTTGTGATCCCAGCTTCCACCCACTATCTCGCGGAAACAGCTCCATAGGAACTGCGCGGACACGCAGGTGTAGAAGATATGATTCGAATCCTCTTCCGGCCCGCAGAGCGGGCATCGTCCATCACCCGGACCATTGTTCTTCAGTACCTCGATGCCAGACGGGAGGCGGCCGCGGATCCATTGCCATAGGAAAGTCCTAATCTTCAGGGGAAGGCGAATCTCCCAGATGAGGGTGAGCGCCTCATGGCCAGGCGAGGGAGCAATGGCCTAGTACATGGACTTGGTGGAGAATTGTCCAGAAGGCTCTAGACGCCATCTGGAAGTGTCATGTTCGGTCGTAAGATTAGGCGCGTGCAATGCAATGCAGTCAAGCATCTCCTGCCAATCGGCTGTTTCAGCCGGACCAAAGGGCCTCCGGAACGTGAGCTGTCCTAAGTCAATAAGGGCTGCCGCGACCGATATCTGAGGGGCCACCGCAATGGAGAATAGGTCTGGAAAGCAGGCCGCGAGGGGAAGGTCGCCAGTCCATGTGTCGAACCAGAACAAGGTCGCGGTGCCTGATCCGACCTCAATCGAAGTCCCAATCTGGAGGACAGGAAGGAGCTGGACGACGGATTGCCAGAACTGGGACCCCCCAGACCGCTGGCAGAAGGCGAGAGGCTGGCCTCGGAGGTATTTCTGCTGAATGATGCGAAGCCACAGGCCACCATCACCGTTGGCAATCCGCCAAAGCCACCGAGTCAGGAGGGCAATGTTCATGTGCTTGGAAGACATGATCCCGAGGCCGCCCTGGTCGCGAGGCTTACAGATTTCAGACCACCTAACCATGTGGTACTTCTGCTTGTCTCCCTCACCGACCCAAAAGAAACGGCCCTGAACAGTGGCGATCTCGTGATGAAGCATCTCCGGAAGGCTGTAGAAGCTCATGATGAACAAGAGCAGGCTAGAGAGGGATGAGTTGATGAGCACCGTACGGGATGCTTTGGAGAGCCACCGACCTTGCCAAGGCTCGATACGGTGCTGGAGCTTCCCCACCGTGGGGCGCAGTTCACCGTGAGCCTAGAGTCACTAATGGGTATCCCCAGATAAGTCGTGGGGAAGCTCCCAAGCTGGCAGTTAAGCCGATCCGCTATACTCTGGCGTTCATCTTGGGAGTATCCCAAGACCATCACCTCGCTCTTTTCTAAGTTGACCTTGAGGCCAAACATCTGTTGGAAGCACACCAGGAGGAACTTGAGGTTTGAGATATCACTCTCCGAGCCCTCCACCATGATGATGGTGTCATCCGCATACTAGAGAAGGGAGATCCCGTGCTCCCCAACAAGATGCGGGACTATCCCCTTAATGTGGCCTGCCGCCTTGGCCTTATTCAAGATGGTGGCCAAGGCGTCGACCACCATGTTGAACAGGAAAGGGGAGAAAGGGTCGCCTTGGCGCACCCCACAGAGGGTGGGGAAGAAGGAGCCGATCTCCCCATTAATGTTCACCGCGGTCCGGCCTGAGGAAACCATCTGCATCACCCTAGTCACCCACCGATCATCGAAGCCCTTCGAAGAAGACATTCCCGAAGGAAAGACCAACTAACCGTGTCATACGCCTCGTGGAAGTCTAGTTTCAGGAAGACATCCTTGAGGTGTTTGGAGTGAACCTCATGGAGTGCTTCATGAAACACCCGGACTCCTTCAAGGATATAACGGCCTTGGATGAAGGCTGACTGATCCGGGTGAGTGATCCGGTCGGCAATAGGGGCCATCCTAATGGCGTACCCCTTTGCGAGGATGCGGAAGATGGCGTTAATCACCGTAATCGGGCGGAATTGGCAGATCTTCGAGGCCCTCGCTACTTTGGGGATGAGGGTGATTAGACCATAGTTGAGCCGGGCGAGATCGATGGACCCGACGAAGAACTCATCAAAGAGTGCCATCACCTCCGGTTTGATCACATCCCAGAAGGTCTGGAAGAACTTCACAGGTAGCCCATCGGAGCCCGGCGCCGAGGATGGGTTCATGCTCTTAATAGCCGCCTAGACTTCTGCCTCGGAAAACGGAGCCGTGAGGGCCTTGATGTCCGCAGGCAAAACGCAACTGTGGGCAGGCCAAATATCTTGCGCCAGGGCAAGACCTCCCCGAGGGGAAGCAGAGAATAGGTCTCTGTAAAAGCCGTCTACATGAGCCCGGATGTCCCCGGGACTCTGTAGGAGGTGCTCCCCTTCCCACAGAAGGGGGATGGAGTTCCGGCGGCGGCGGCCGTTCGCAATGGCCTGGAAGTAGGCGGTATTGGCGTCCCCTTTAAGGACCCAATTCTGAGTACCTCTCAGCCGCCAGTATGCCTCCTCTTCTGAGTAGATGACCGTGAGCTGGTCTTCCAAATCATATCTAAGCATCCACTCGTCAGCCGAGAGGCCAGCGGCGTCAGGCCGAACGTCGAGTGCCTGGATGTCATGAAGGAGAGCTTTTTTACGCTCTCGGATGTTGCGGCCTACGTTTGCGCCCCAACCCTTCATGAATTGTCGTGACCGATTGGTGCAGAAGTGCCAGTTGTCCACGACCGAGATGGATCGATGGGGGGCCTCACGTGCCTCGCGCCATCTCGCGCCCACGGCGGTAGAAAACCCAGGCTGGCGCAACCAGAAGGTCTCGAACCGAAATCGGGCCGGGAGGGGAGGACGCTCATTCTCCGAAGAGAGGAGAAGGGGTATGTGATCTGAGCCAATTCGCGTAATCGCCCGGAGCGATGCTAGGGGGCAACGAATGTCCCACTCAGGGGAAGCGAAGACCTTGTCGAGAACGGAGCGAGTCGGTTCAACCTGACGGTTTGTCCAAGTGAACCTGGCCCCGACACGCTTGAGCTCGGGAAGCCCCATGTCCGCGATGCAGTCATTGAACATCTGCATCCGCGGGAAATTCACCAAGTTATTGCTCTTGTCTTCTTTCGATCGGATGAGGTTGAAATCACCTCCCACCACTACCAGGAGCTGCGCAGCAGCTACCTTCCTACTGAGCTCACCGACGAAAGCCTCCGAACGGCGGTGGTCGGCTGGCCCATAGACCGCAATAATTTCCCATTTGAAGTTCAGAGCTCGCTCGAAGATCTCCATGCTCACGTAGAACTCACCCCGATCCATGCTGCCTACCTCAAAGGTGGCATCCTTCACCCCTAGGAGGATTCCACCCGAGTG